GATCACTAGTTAATCAACTTATTTTAAATTTTCAACAAAACAATTATGTATCAAATGTAAGAATCATCACAACGTTAAATGAAAATGGAAATGTTCGGTCCATTGAACCATGTAATCAACTCGTCTAAAAGTATACATTATCGAAAAGTATGACCATCAAATTTAAAAAGAATCAGGTCCGCATTGAAGGAACATGTTGAAGATATAATTAAATTTAACTATATTAGAAAATTGGACCTTTTTGCCCAGCCTAAATATAGTTACTTATTGTGTCCCAAGCATCCCGCATTCACGCAGGGTACGAGAAAGGGCCTCACTCCAATGGATGTAATTTAGACAGCCTACCCTAATATAAGCATTAATGGCTGACAGCTTGAACCCGTGACCTATAGATTACAGGGAGACAAATTTCACGCAGAGTACACGGAACAATGGCGGAGCCACATTCCACCGAGGGGTGTCAATCGACTCCCCTTCGCGGAAAATTATATTGTATTGCTAGATACATTTTTCTATTTTATGTATATTTACTATATGTTGACTCCCCTAAACTTTTTGATGTATTTTTTTTTTAATTTTGACACCCCTTGGTGAAAATTCTGGCTCCGCCACTGACAAGGAAGAATCGCACCCCAAGGGATGTGACTTAGACAATCTACCTTAATACAAGCGCTTGTAACTATTTTCATGGCTTGAACCCGTGATCTATGCTTTTGGTAGGTCTGATTTTCCTGGTTTGACACTAATGAAACCGAATCTGATGCAAAGTTTTAACCTAGGCTTTGAGGCTTTTCTGATTAGTACTTTGCATCATTCGCAAGGAAAGAGGGTTCCATTTTCACATGTTAGTAGTAATACAATTGTACCCTTTTTATTTCTTTGAAATCTTGGTACCCTTTGCTTTAGTTAATTAGAAAATTTTCTCGTTTTTTTAGCAACTTTGGACATTTAAACTTCGTTATGTTATCATAATACACACACACACTAAGTTCTCATCTATTGTCACAAAAAGTATGGCGAGTACGCAGAGTGATAATATCATACTTCACACCCACTATAATGTAAACTTTGATCCATCTCTGATTACCGATTAATACATTTGTCGTAAATGAGAATGTTTTTTTAATGCTTTTTTTTTTAACTAAACGATATATTCCCACTAAAAACAAGTCCAATTAAGTGGCATACAATGGGCGGATCTAGCCTTAAAGCCTATAGGTTCCGACAGTGAATTAATAGCGAAGCCAGAAATTTTGTTAAAATTAATTATATATATATATATATATATATATACTAATTTTTAATTTATGCATGCAGTACAATTTTTATACACATGCGGTGAAATCTTCACTTTTTATAATTTTTCGATAAAAGGGGTTCAACTGGACACCCTTCATTGTAGTGGCTATGCCACTGCAGTGAACTCATGACTAGCTGCCCAAACCCTAGATCCGCCTGAGTGAACTCTAGAATGCAACAAATATTAAATTTTGAACCCGTCATATAAAAACTCTCAATGGTTCACTACTAAGAATATAAAAATTGAATCATCAAATTTAAATTCTCGATCGGCCTTTTATTCAAATTAGTTGTTTTTCGTCAATGACTTTGAATGACCTTTCATGTAGAATACAAAATAGAATGATTCCAAACTCAAACAGCGGAGAGTAGCCACAAGGACCACATCACAGAAATCATAAGTTTCTGGAAATTCTCGTTATGTTTAGGTTTATCTTGTTTCGTTTTCATGTCTCCTTTTGGCAGCAAAAAGAAGAAAGAAAACTACAAAATTTTGCAGGTTTTTGTGCTGATAAATATGGACTAAGCTCTTCCTTTTTTATTTTTTGTTGGTATATAGACGGACATATATATTATAGAGTTGAGTCAGTGGAGTTTACCTATTCTGCAATCTGCAATAAACAGACTCCATTTTAGCCACTAACCATTGTAAATGGTTCACATGTGCTCCACTCTTTGACCCTTCAGTCACGTGCTTGCCTTTCACTTTTTTCTTCTCTTCTTTCGGTTTACGTGAAATCTGTTGATCCGATTAATTTAAATTTATATTGAAGAGTGACAAAATCAAGATTTTTTATCAAGGAGATTCATAATATTAAAAAGTAAACACACAAATAAGTCAATGAGATTCAATATGTATACTATTTATACATAACAAAATAATATACATTATAATTTTTCGACTAAAGGAGTTAACTCCCTTCTACCACGCTAGCTCTGCCTTTGGTATCGAGTAAATTCATTAAAAGGTAAATACTTTCTAGTTCCTATTGAAAGGTTCTATTTCTCAAGGCACGGACCCGAAACCTCTAGTGAGACAGCTGAGCCCAATACTTTGGTTTAATTTTAAGCATTGACATAGAAAAAAATCTTACGTTGTTTAAATTTAATTTCACAATATTGTCTATATTAATCAGTGGGTATAGATTAATAACCGGGAAAAGAGAATAAGGAACCTGGACGAACTAATTAAACTACGTTAATAGCATAAAAATTCTTTAATTTAAAAAGTTTCTAAATCTGACTGGGCTTGTTTTGTGAGAGTGAGTGAAGTAGAAATGACACCAAATAGCCACTTTAAAAGGCTGCAATTTAAAAATTAGCCAGTCGTTCTGAATTTTAAGAATTAGCCGTGAGTGGAAGCTATTTTCAGCATGATAAAGATCAATTTTGTAACCCATTACAGCTGGGCTCTTATTGCTGCTCCACTGCATGTTAGCACTACCACTATATATGGTGGAGTAATAGAGGCAATTACAAAGAGATACAGCCATGTCGTGCTAATAAAGTAAAATTTGGAGCATTTAGATAGAGTTTGTTTCAATTAAGGAATGTCCTAAATTTAGAACCATACGAAGAATTACAGAAAAAGTAGTCTTTAAATTTTGACCATTGCTTTCCGATGGGCAAAACTTTAACGTCAAAAGTTAAAAATATTACCAATGGGGCTGGTGAGGAGCAACACTAGTTAAACTTGAAATTCTTCCCATGGGACAAGAGGAGTCAAAAATTCAAGACAATTCAATGACTAGTGTAGGATAACCACGGTTAACGTAAAGTGGGCTTGCGTGATATAGAATAGTTTTAGGTCCATGAAATGTTCAAAGATGTTAATGTCTTTCTTGGCCCAGCCCATTAAGCTGGCTATGCCCATAAATCATGTTTTGATTGGCTGGACGAAGACTGATAATTTCTAACTAAAGAAGTAGAACTACAAGACCAATTCATAAGGATTAATTTGAATTTAAAGTCAAAAGTCCCAAATATGAGCTGTATGCCAGCTTAATACTACTTTCCCACAAAGAATATTAGAAACTATTCAAAAACCAACTTCATCATTAATGTCCAATCACTACTCTTCCTTTAAGACCTACATATATAAAATGTATACTTCTCTTTTATTTCTTTTTTATTTTTGGCCCATTGGTTCTACCTATTTGCCAGTATGTCAGTCAAGCTCAATAATGGTCACAAATTGAAGAATCAGACTTTCTAAAAGCCACCCCAAATTTGTATCAGAACACAACTTTGCTTGGTTCAAATACTTTTTAATTTTTTTAAGAAATATTTAGGTGTGTTTTATCGGGAAAAAAGAAGAGATAAGAATCAAATAATAAATATAATAGAGGGTCAAGGAGGTCACATCTCAAAAGAAGGTATCCAATAACATAATTTCTAAATATAAATTTATCGGAAACACTGAAAAACATTAAAGCTTTCCTAATTTGTTGAATTTTTTTCATAATAGGTTGTCCCACAGAGACCAGAGGCGGATCCAGGATTTTAAGTTTATGGGTTCCTGTCGTAATTTCAAATTAATATACAATAATAACTGGGTTCACAAATAGATATTTAATAAAAATTTTAACAAAAATACAGGGTCTACGCAAAAGTTAGTGCGTTCTCGGGAACCCGTATACTACACGCTAGATCCGCCCCTGAATGAGACGAGTTATTATTTCGTCATTTTCATCTCATCAACCAGTTTTTGAAGATAAAGTAGGTTCAATATTCACTTCTTCTTTTTTTTTTTTAATTAATTCAATGTCCTAAGTTTTTGAGTTTCATGTCTAAACATATATAGAATCAGGTCAAACCGTAAACTGACCTTCTCCCAAATAAAAAAGAAAAAGAAAAAAACAGAAGATAATAAATAGTACGAGAGAGAGTACTGTAGGTTTCACATGGGGATGTTATCATTATAACTCCCACAACGATCTGCACGTTACTACTCAATTATTCAACACTATATAGTATATATACACAACACAAGAACCCAAAACATATTCATTAAAAAAAAACATTTATATATTCATAATGGGCAAACACGCTTCAAATTTCTCTACATGTTTCCATTCATCAATTTTCAACAATAATAATTACGTAAATTAAACCAAAAAAAACAAAAATTTAAAGAAGCTGTGATCCATTTATATTAATCATCACTTGTCTCTTGCCTCATTTCTTTCTTGCATTTTGCAATTTTAATATAGTACACGTCTCTGTATTCTTAAATTCCACTCCGATTCGAACCCGGGACGACTCGGTGGTAAAAACAAACAACTCGCCCCACCACTTAATTGCCATCTCTCATTCTCATTCTCTGTACTCTTTAATTCCC